GAAATGTAATCAAAAAGCATTTTAATGGCCAAACTATTCTACAATTTAGGATTTTCCAGAGAGGGTTATTTGTGAATAAACGGGAGCATGTTGTAATTACAAGGTGAGAGAAAACAATTCCACATCCTCCTATGAAACGTATTTTATTTCCTTCTCCATGTTATACTTATACTTACTTGTAATNTTTACAGAGAGGGTTATTAGTGAATATACAACCCTCCGGAGCGTTTGCAATCAACAGGAGCATATGCCGCAAATTGTTGTTTCTTACACGACCACTAGAGGTGCTAAACTTTAAAACGTGACTATAGGTCGTAATAATCTGCTGAACAATCGACCTATTTGGTCGTTTTTTGGAGGAGGACAGGCTGAATTATAACTATTTCCAGAAACACATGAGTTAAATGTTCATTGCATTGGGAAGGAGAAGAGAGATGCGGTGAAAAGAAATGATGATGAACGAATCAGAAGTACCTGAGATTTATATCACATTTAAAAGTGTGTATTGAGCTGCTTTGAAGATAACCTCAAAATATACAACTCAGTTTAACAAGATATGAAAAGTATTGGTGTTGGAGTGCATGTCAAGTATACTTGCTAATGCTTCATTCATACTGCACAAGGTCAGATCAGCCTGAGCACTGAGCAGCAATAGGATCTTGCTCAACTTTCTTTCCCTGGTTCGCAGCAGTCTTTCACCAGGATTCAAATCCGACTTTAGAGGCAGGCTTCTGGCGTTAAGTAAGAAAAGAAAATGGGAGGGAATGTTTGACCTTTTTCAGTGAATAGCCTGGAAAGTGATATGTGATTAAAATGTGTCTGGGAGAAATAAAAAATGAGGAGAGCCGGAAAGCAAAGGGAGAGAGCAAATTGTAGTCAGTGGTAAGGAATGAAGACAGGGTTTTTTATAAGGGATATCTTGCACTTTTGACACCTTGGAACTCTAATCCACCCAGGATATCTTCTGTAATCAAACAGCGTGTCAATAAATGTTCAAAGGATTACCATGAATGGCATTATACTTCTCAAATGCCAACCATCAGACTGTAAAGGATGTGCTGGCTGCATGAAAATTGTCTCTACAATGGTTTTTAATTATTATGAAAGCCCAGCAGCAACCATGGGATGTCTATGCTGTTGCCATGATAAATCTATACATTACAGACTCAAGCAAACATTTACATTTCAGCTCGTACAGTAAGCCCACAGCTGTATAGCTCTGTCTCCTTAAGATATCAAAGTATCTTCCTTAAACCTTTTCATATGATATCAAATATGTTTCTCAAGGGAAATCAAAGTTTGGATTTAACTGAAATTCCTTTCATAGCAAATGAGAATCATTTTGCACATTTTTACTCCAATGCATCTAAACTTTAAAATTGGGGATGCCTGATTAAAAGCTCTGATTATTATTCAGAGTCCACAGCATGTGATGCCAATTATCCGCTGGGTCATTACCACTTTTGAGCGAAGTTGCACAGGCAAAAGGTTTTTAAGGGAAAAGGCCTACATTTTCATCAGCAGTTGCAGTGGCTCTTTGTTGGTATTGACGAGAAACAAATGAGACCAATGCTAAGATAGTTTTCTATTTGCACATTGCCAAAACATTAAAGGAATGTGATGAAAGAAAGTGAGTGTCATTGTCAGCATTTTACCCAACTGAAAATATAGCTAAACTATATTCCTTTTAGGGAAGCTTTTGTTTAGAGTAAAACAACTCAAAAGATATTTTATTATTGTCCAATTTTAACACTTGCTTTGCTGGCAGGTGGTACAATATCACAGGCAACAGGATTCAGCTCATGCGATTATAGCCCCACTGATGTTTCTCTCTGTGAGAACGCTGATAGCAGGAACAGGGGTAGAAAGTAAAAACAATAAATAAGTATTAATTATGCCTATTGTCTATTTAAAAAGGAAATACTCAACGTTATTTAATTATTTTCCAACATTACAAAGTATTTGGATACATAGAGCTCCTCTGGCTGATTTACTTTGCATTATATCGAACGTACACCAGCAAAACAAACACTACTGGAATTCAAACACTTCTCTATACTGTAATATGGCCTCTGCTTTGTAATTGTTACTCTCACAGAGAATGTTGTTCAAGCATAACATGTGCATTGTTTGACAAAAACTTTTAAGAATTGAATTTGTGAAACTTGTTCTTACTCCTTCACACAATGTGTTACATAAAATAACCCCATTCGAGCTGTAAACAAGACAACTTCCTCATTTATGTTGTTATTGAATCATCATTTTTGCAGTAATGAAAATATTCTCTCTTTGATTGTTTGGAAATGTGATCTAATGTTTCATTTGCAAAACAATTATAATCTGTATAGAAATGAAATCTTATTTTAAAAAGTTAGTTATTGTAACTCTGTATTTATCAGTAGGCTACTAAAACAAACAGCAACTGAAGACACATTTGCTGCTTCTTGACTACATTTAACATTGTGACACACACCGTTTCCATCTTCCAGCACCAGCTCCTAAGACCTTGTTCAAGTAAGAAAATACATAAATTACCTGTTTGACCTTGCTCTTTAATGGACATGGAAGATAAACATATTTGTTCCTTGTATTATTCATGAAGCCGAATCAACAGCATGAACCAGTCAATAAGTCAGTGTGAGAATCAAACCAAGGTGAATGATGTGATTGACTGCACCGGGTATATGGGGAATCATAAAGCCTTAGTTTAGATCTTTCCCTTGGGCTCTCTCTTCGATATGAGATGTATAGGAGGTACAGCAGAAGACCTAGAAACCATTTTAGCATACTACATTTTTTTCCTCACTTGTTAGTAAATTGACTGACAGCAATATAAGCCGTAGCCAGTTCAAAATAGTCAAAATGAGATGATAACACACTTGAAAGTTGGGGGAAATTATGGTTTACTATACATTGTGAAGATTCTTATTTTAGCCCCTTCTGTTGTCTGAGTCAAGATCATGGGTCAAATATTTATAGTAATAATAAGAGTGCTGTGTTTAACTTCTTTTTAAACTGACATAAATAAGATTTCACTAACCCATGACCCAAAATAACCGCAATGTGAAGGTTTGATACAGTGATCAATACCAGTGTCTTACAATTACTGCACATAATGTGGGGATATCTGGCTTTTAAAGTGGTCCAGTAATCAAAATCTCTGCAATACCTCATGTGCTAACCTACACAAACACCTTAGACCTTGGACATTCATATTATTTTGAAACATAATCCTAAATTTGCAGCAATACACACACACATAGACATACACACACTCAAACTTACTCCCAGTGAAAAGTAAAGGCGAGCGATGAGTTCCTAATGACTCCATCTGGCGAGTAGAGCAAGAAGGTGTTTCACCACTGTAGACAGTTATGTTGTCACTTTTCCCTCCACGTCAGGGTGTCAGATTTTAAACTGAAGTGACAGATCACTCCTTTAGCTGCTCACTCTCAGCAGAAGGACACTGACGGCGGCATCCAGAGGCAAAAAGGTCAGGCCATCAGGTTGGTTGTGCTAATGGACTGCTGACCAGGCACTACGCCAGCCTCTCAGGAGACATTGGCAGCCTAGTTCTCACCTCTTCAGTGTGTGTTCCATGTCTTTACATCAGTCTCATTAACCCTTTGCCAACAACAGGGCTAATTCTCACATCATGCTGTCTCTTTGTTCACACTTTGCTTCTTACTGAGCCACTCATTGGGTCATTAATTCTGTTCTCACTTCTAGCTGCGACTGAAGAGGATGTACACAAGTCTTGGTTAAAAATTGTGTAATTTGTGGTTTCCAAGAGCTGTAGAGAGCTCACAGCACAGTTCAGGCATTTGTATAAGAGCACCTCAAGATGGCAGTGTTCACCATGGCAGGCTGCTCAGCCTTTGCTCAACAGCTTGCCTTTCTCAGCAGCAGCACAACCAGAGAGTCTTGGAGGAAATTGAGGGTTATCTACTGCATTGAAATTAAGTAATGATTGGATAGCAGTATGCATTAAAGCGTGGTTGTATGGTTGACTCTGATTTGCAGTTTCTTAAATCTGCAGTTTTCTAATTGCATTGTGCCACATCGGAAGTGTAATTTGTTTGTTGTTGGTCAGTTTCGTTACACAGTTCAGTCTTCCCCTTTTTTCTTTTAAAACTTGTCAACTAAGATCATCTGCAGTTATAGGCAATTCCAAAGTCCCACCACAGCTGCCTCAAATCGTCACAGCCCTATAGCACGAGGCACTACACTTAAAAGGAAATGCAATTCAACCATTACGCACTGAGCTCGCACCACATGCTGTGTATAGCTTTGATGACTGGGATAACTGTCAAGGTTATTTCTTACGGACAAATGCTGATGAGTGGCTGCAGGGTGCTGAGTGTGGCGGACAGAGCGTGAATATGCACCCCGTGCAAACATGCGTACACAACGGCTTCTCTGTCTGGAGTGCAATTAGTGACTCCTACACAAGGCTTCTATTGTCGCCTATGCCTGTGTTTACTCTTGGCAAGTCCTATCCATTATAAACCGTTTCAGTTTGTGATTTTAACGGCTTCAAAATGTTGGGTTTTTGTGTCCGCTGCAATAAGTGCAGCCTACCTGACAACAGCCTAACAGGTTGGCTTATGCCTTTCGGTGTGTCCCTTTTAGAGCCAATGACGGCTATCTGCCTTTTATATAATCATCAACAGTGCATAAGCAAGGGAACAGACACTCTTGTTCTCCATATTATCAGCAGCAGCACTAGCGGCTTCATCATCATCCTCATCGTCGTCATCATCATCCCCCTCCAGCCTCGGGCTTTTTGGTTAAGCGTCTCTGCAGCCTGCAGCATCTTCACAGAGCATCTCACCGCGGACTACCCTCCGGTCTGCATTAAGTGACGTGACTTTGGGCCAATCCTGTGGGCGCTCGGGTTGTCGACGCCACTGAGAGAAAGGGGCGGTGTCCAATGATGATGGTCGGCAGGGTGGAGGGCGTCGGTGTGGTGTACTTCACCACCCCTCCTATGGGTTTACACAGAGTTAGTGCAAGATATTCTGCTCCGCGAGTGAGAGTGCAAGGATAAACGGCACATACACGCTGCACATCGGTGCCACACTGAACAGCATTTATATCTAGGTTGGCATTTCCAAGTGGGATCCATTCTGAGATATCGCTTTTTCTTCATGATCTCTTTTTAACCTTGTGGTTTTCTCGGCTGATTATTGATGGTGCTTCATGAACTTGAAACATGACGGGACAGCAGTGTCTCCTCCTGTGTTCACCTCTTCGGCACCTTCACCTTAACAGGTAGCCCGGGGGGGAAAAACGCCGGGTTTTTTCGGTACGTTTACGGCAGATGAGCACTATTTTTTTTAGGACCGGTTCAAATGGAAGACAGCACCAAACAGTGATCACCTGGCTGTGACTGCTGGAGAGCGGCGCTGATCACCGCAATCACTGCAGGGCGCACAATTAGATCCTGTCCATTCCTGAAGTTAAATGGGGGAAACGGAACTGCGACATTTGCAGCATCTATTTTATTCCAGTTTTTGCGACCAGCTGATTTTACCCAACATTTTTTCTTGAGTCTGATTACTCCAGCGGGTCGAATATTTTGTTCTTCTTATTCCTGGATCCAAAGCTTGATCTGACTGAGAAGGATATCTTTGCTCGAATAATCTCACAGGTACACCGGAGGAGAAGACTATGAGCTGACACACTCCAGCTTTTCTCCTGCGCTGTAACGGATTTGGGTATGTACGATTAGAATAGGTCTCAGTTGCCCACTAAGAATTCAAAATCTGTCTGAGCTCATTTTCTAGGCTTCATTCATGCGCATTCATTCGTTTATAAGCCCGCACAAAGCTAAAGCTCTTTAATTTCAGCAATGTAGTTTAATATTAATAAGAGTGTGTCATGTTAGTGAAGTTTGTGGCAATGGGGGTTTGAGTCGCTGAAAGAATTATTGGTGACTTTAAAATGTGGAGGATTTTAGAAAGGGAGCAAACATGGTGGGTTAAGTGTTGCTTTAGATTTTTTACTGTGAATTGTTGATAAAGGCCTTTGGGTATAGTTTAATAGGGACTGTAAAAAAAGAAAGAAAAGAAAGTGAACAAAACAGCTGACTTTGAGGTTGGGGGTTGTTAATTAAATTGAATTACTGTGCATGGGAAAGTTATTTTCACTAAAGAGAAACTCTTTCATGTATTCATAGGTTGTCGCTGGAAGATTCCTGCCATCACATGCAAGGAGGCACTGCCTGTAACAACATTGCATAGAAAAAAACCTTTGATTTACTAAAGACTGGAAACACATTTACGCTGTCATGGATCTAAAAGACTATTACCTGTTGGGTGCCCTGTTCGCCTGCTTATGGCTAGATCCTTCAATAGCCCAAGAGCTAATATACCCCATCAGAGAGGAGTTGCAAGAAAATGTCCTCATTGGAAACATACCAAAGGACCTAAACATTTCCCATACAAATGCTGCCACTGGAGCAAGTGCTAATCTTGTGTACCGGCTCGTCTCCAAAGCAGGAGATAACCCTCTGGTGCGTGTTCTGAGCAGCACTGGCGAGATATTCACTACATCAAACCGAATCGACAGGGAGAAGTTGTGCCCTGGTCCCTCGTTTGAGGACAGCGAGTGCTCCTTTGAAATTGAAGTGGTCATCCTCCCTAATGATTATTTCAGGCTGATTAAGATCAAAATAATTGTCAAAGACACAAATGATAATGCCCCCATGTTCCCGTCCCCTGTGATCAACATCTCCATCCCAGAGAACACGCTCATTAACAGCCGATTTGCCATTCCTTCTGCCACTGACCCAGACACTGGCCCTAACAGTGTCCACAAATACGAGCTCATCAACGGGCAAAGTGCCTTTGGCTTAGACATAGTGGAAACGCCTGAGGGGGAGAAGTGGCCCCAGCTCATTGTGCAGCAGAATCTGGACAGAGAGCAGAAGGATACATATGTGATGAAGATCAAAGTGGAGGATGGTGGCAGTCCGCAGAAATCCAGCACTGCAATTCTCCAAGTTACAGTAACGGATGTCAATGATAACAGACCGGTGTTTAAAGAGGGTCAGATAGATGTGCACATACCAGAAAACTCCGCTATTGGCACATCTGTTGTGCAGCTCCAGGCGTCAGATGCAGACATAGGGGCGAATGCAGAAATACGTTATGTATTTGGGACTCAGGTGTCAGCTGCTACGAAAAGACTCTTTGCATTAAATACAACATCTGGCCTAATTACAGTGCAGAGACTTCTCGACAGAGAGGAGACGGCTATTCATAAGCTCTCTGTTTTAGCCAGTGATGGCAGCTCTAGTCCCGCAAGAGCTACTGTTACTATAAATGTGACTGATGTGAATGACAATCCACCTAATATAGACCTGAGATACATAATCAGTCCCATTAACGGCACTGTTTTCCTCTCTGAGAAGGATCCCATCAATACCAAGATAGCTCTCATCACAGTGTCAGACAAAGACACTGACATCAATGGCAAGGTCATTTGTTTCATTGAGAAAGATGTGCCCTTCCATCTAAAGGCTGTGTACGACAACCAGTATCTGTTAGAGACATCTGCTCTGCTTGACTACGAAGGCACTAAGGAGTATAACTTTAAAATCGTGGCTTCTGACTCTGGAAAACCCAGCTTGAATCAGACTGCCTTGGTAAGAGTGAGGCTGGAGGATGAGAATGACAACCCGCCTATTTTTACTCAGCCAGTTATTGAGCTAGCTGTTATGGAAAACAACAAGCGCGACCTGTTCCTCACGACTCTCAGTGCCACAGATGAGGACAGTGGGAAAAACGCAGAGATAGTTTATCAGCTGGGACCAAATGCATCCTTCTTTGATCTTGACCGAAAAACTGGGGTCCTGACTGCATCCAGGGTTTTTGATCGGGAGGATCAGGATAGGTTCCTCTTCACTATAACGGCAAGAGATAACGGGACACCCCCTTTGCAGATGCAGGCGGCTGTTATTGTAACTGTGCTGGATGAAAATGATAACAACCCAAAGTTCACACATAACCACTTTCAGTTCTTTGTGTCTGAGAATCTTCCAAAATACAGCACAGTTGGGGTGATAACTGTCACAGATTCAGATGCCGGAGAAAATGCTGCGGTTTCTCTTTCCATACTGAATGACAATGAGAACTTTATCCTGGATCCTTACTCTGGAGTGATTAAATCTAATGTGTCATTCGATAGGGAGCAACAGAGCTCCTACACTTTTGATGTCAGGGCTGTGGACAGTGGCAGGCCTCCTTGCTCCTCAGCCGCCAAGGTGACCATAAATGTAATCGATGTGAACGACAACACCCCCATTGTCATCTATCCCCCCTCCAACACATCTTTCAAGCTCGTACCTCTCTCCTCTATCCCAGGATCTGTGGTAGCAGAAGTGTTTGCTGTAGACGGTGATACAGGAATGAATGCAGAACTGAAATACACCATTGTGAGTGGAAACAACAAAGGACTTTTCAGAATTGACCCTGTCACAGGCAATATTACTCTGGAGGAAAAACCAGCTTTGACTGACATAGGCTTACACAGATTAGTGGTCAATATCAGTGACCTGGGATATCCTAAATCTCTCCATACGCTTGTGCTGGTATTTCTGTATGTCAATGACACTGTGGGCAACTCGACTCTCATCTATGATCTCATCCGACGCACCATGGAGACCCCAATTGACCGTAACATTGGTGAAAGTAGTGAAACGTATCAAAGCGGTGACTATTTAACCATAATGATAGCCTTTGTAACTGGGGCATTGGTAGTGATTATTGTCATCTTTGTCACTGTGCTTCTGCGCTGCCGCCATGCTTCCAGGTTCAAAGCTGCACAGCGGAAAAAACAGGGGGCTGAGTGGATGTCACCCAACACTGAAAACAAGCAGAACAAAAAGAAAAAGCGCAAGAAAAGGAAGTCCCCAAAAAGCTCTCTGCTCAACTTTGTCACCATTGAGGGGAACAAGCCTGACGATCCTGCTCACGAGCCAATCAACGGAACCATCAGCCTGCCCACCGAGCTGGAAGAGCAAGGGATTGGACGCTTTGAATGGAATGCCACACCCACAACAACCTTTAAACCCAGCAGCCCAGACCTGGCCCGGCACTACAAGTCCGCCTCGCCGCAATCGGCCTTCCACCTCAAGGCCGACACGCCAGTCTCAGTGAAGAAGCATCACGTGATTCAGGAGCTCCCATTGGATAACACATTTGTTGGGGGCTGTGACACCCTTTCCAAGAGGTCCTCCACGAGCTCTGACCACTTCAGTGCCTCGGAGTGCAGCTCCCAAGGAGGGTTCAAGACGAAGGCGCCCATGCACACCAGACAGCAGGTAAAAGAGCACTTTTACTGGTCTATAAGTACTGCCTATAATTGCCCTGTTCCACAGTGCTAAAGTGCCAGTCTAGATTAGACACTTGCTTACTGTGAAGCAACAGAAAATATTACAGGAGACTTACTGCTTCAGCAAGTTCCACTATTTCTCAAACTTAAAAAAGAAAAAAGTAACTTGAACAACTGCTATTTAATGGAGTTGATTATGGACTCAACAATCACATGGAGAATTCTTGGGGAATAATTATAGACTGATGTTCTGTCATTGCTATATATTTAATTCTTATTAAATGCAAAATGCACCTGGGTGAGTGATTGCCTTGCCTTATTTTGTCTATTCAGCACCCAGGTTAGATCACTGGTAAAATGTACCAACATTACATTAATTGTGACTCAATGTTCTCTGTGAAAGAAACATTTTTTTCTTGCCTATCTACTCAGATTATCATCCTAGATAAATGCTGCACACATTCTTCCAAAAAAAAAGTAAATTTTTCACCTCTCTCCTCATAAAACTGAGTGTATTCATGTTTTTTTTGTTTGTTTATTTGTTTTGATGTGTATTGTTAAATCACAAACGACTGTGTAACCTTTCAACACCTGCAGCAATAACAACAGTCAATAATTAGTCTGTTGCGGTAGTATTGTGAATGTCACAGTAGGCTTTGCTTCATCATCTAAACTCGAATTAAATGCCTCTTCTCAAAGCACACAGGCAAACTGACTGAAGCTTGTCTGGAACTTGATACACATCCAATTCAAAAAGGATTAGCCAATAATGAGCCTCAAATTTCAACGTAATCCATGCTGCTTTTTATCAAAGCCTTATTAATTGTTCTGCTAATAAAGCACCACTACACAGCACACAGATCCGGAACACACGTGGATAAACACAGGGAGCAGCAGAGCAGAGGGAGAAAGGGAGGCAGAGTGAGACAGTTGTCAGTGGGTCAGGCTTGACGGGTGGTGGTACTGAACCTTTAGGTGGCAGTGTTGAGCTGCATGGCACAGCATGGCACTACGCCAACCTGCAGTGGACTTGTAAATGCAAGGGAGGAGAAGAACGAAGTAAAACCTACGTTGGTTTCTAAGTGAAATACTCTTGCCTAATGATGCACAGGGAAGATTGATAATGGCAGTTAAAGATGAGAGTGATAAGATCTATCCGGAAGAGAGAGTGGAATTACAGGGGTGACACTGTGCGACTCTTATCGATGCATACCTCCGGGTCACTGCATCTGGGGTTGCATTTAATGTGTTTCTGTGTGAGAGGTGGCAGTCAAAAGAGGCATTCACTTTGGCGTCATTTGCCTTGGTGTGTGTGGTTGGTGATGTGTGTGAGAGACGAGACGAGGCGATGAAATGGGTGACGGTGTTAGTGGCAGTGGGGGTGAATTCCACCCGAGAGGAGGAAACATGAGATATGACACTATACTGTAAGCACAACTTCATTGATTCACTCCGTCATCCCATAATACCACACAAGATTTATTGGAATCAATCATTCTGACAAATGATTCAAAGAAGCACACAAACAGAGCCAGCGTGTTGTAAACAGCGCCATTGATAATATAAATGATTTACTGTTGCAGATACTTTTTCTCACAAGCGTTCCCCTGAAATGCTGTGTACATTGATTCATTTTATTTTATTTGTGTAGAGCATTTAATCCTTATAGAAAACAGTTGAAATGGACCTCAACGTGTACCTCAGTTTAAATCTCTTCTTTTCACAAAAAGCGGTTAAAATTGACCATCTTCATATCCCTTTATTTTTAGAACTTGAAAATGAAATATAAGCAATTCATTTTGTAATCATATCATATCATGTCATATCAAATTCATAATTAAATCAGTATTTATCTATTGGTTAAACTATAATATTTAGATCCGCAGCATCAGCACCATAAAAAGTCAAGGGGGAAGTAAGATATCGTTTCGTAATACCTTTTAAATTACTCAAATTAATATGCACTAATATACTTGACTGCACACAAGGGTACACTTTCTTATCTCCTTCCTTATTATTAGAACGAAAAGGTAATTTTCTACCTTTCAACTATTTGCTAATGTCTTTCTTTGGAGATTTGTAATGAAGACTATCTGGTTCTTGATGTTTATTATTCTACAATATCTCACTGATAAGAATCCCACTTCAGATTTGAGGTTAAATGGCAGTTATTGATTGTGGTTAAATGATTGCACTGTTGTGTCTTTCTGGATAAAGCAGAGTGATTTCACAATGCTATTGATACATCCATATTTGTAGTGTTTTGCACAATGAAACTATTTGCAATGACATGCACATGTCATCTCTGTTTCATGAGTATTGATAAGAAGACGCTCAGCCAGTCCAATTGCTTTTTGGATTCTGCCTGAGATTGAAAACAGAGAAGAGATTATCTGCAATTTGAAACAAAAAAAGAAAATGTAAAAGCCAAAAAATAGCAATGACCTTTTTGAGTGTATCTTTAAACAGACAGTGAATCCAAAAGGTAATATCATAGGATTATCATATCATATTTCCCGGAGAGTAGGAGCGCTTTGGAAAAAGATAAGAACTGCATTATTAAAAGATTTCTTATATATACAAAGATGATAAAAAAAAAGTCAATATCAATGTTATTATTCAGTTTAAAATGTGGTCTGATGCACTGCATCCAAAATGAATAGGGTGTTGAATTCTTACACCAAATAAAGCTTCAAAAATATCTATGATAGAATGATGGAGTTTATATTAATGTTGTTGCATTATGAGTAACAAACCATCATCAATCACCCATTGTTGCCTGAAATTGACACGAAATAAGCAATTACTTGAAAGAGGGTGTTCAAGAGAAACAAATGTGTAAAGCTGTAGGGAATAGCTTTTATAATTGACCTTCTCTCTTAGAACTTCAAACGCCATTTTGTTCCAATTCTTAAGAGTCACATCAATGCAACATCAGCACCAATCAATAAATAAATCAGGAAACTGAAAGGAAATTGATGAACAAGAAGGTGGGGAGAAAGGTTGACAACAACAGCAACGCCTGCACGTTTCAGCAGTGTCCTCCTCCCAGAGAATATAGAACATAGGGAATATAAATTGCAGATATCTACTACAGTGTCATAACAGACGAATGCATTCAGCTTTATAGAAACCCCTAACTCGGCCGATACCAAAAGAAGACATCTTTGCCTTTCCTTTCTTTTTCCCCCCACTTATTATTTACCCTCCAGGGACCTACATTAGTGTAAACAACACTGAGGAAAAAAGCATGAAAACACTGTCCTAGTTTCTCAAGGCAACACAAGCATCTAAGAAACCAAGTATAATCATAGCCGTTTCACCATCAGTCTGACTCTCTTCCTTCCAGTAGTCTTACGGGGAGACATATATGTGGCTCACTACATAACATGAGCCCAGCGGCTACGCATTAGCCATGTACTGCGCATCAGATCCCAAGGCCCATGTTGTGGACACATCAGCGTGGTATCACTGAGGTTGCGTGGTTTGAGAGTAGTCACTGAGATGATGTATGAAATGTGCTAAATCCAATACTATCCACATGTTAAGTCGTCACTTTATTAACCTTAAATGAATCCCATGATGTTTGTGAGTTTAAGGCTGTTAACTCTGTTGAGTTAGCAAGCATATGGACATCTACATGTACATATTATTGCTGATACACAAGATGTCTCCTCTTTCCCCTGCTTTGTTATGGTAATATACATTATATGCTTGGATGCACAATTATGGGCCTCATATAGGGCTTTCAGTAGTGTGTATTGTAACCATGTGCAAAAAGGCTTAATTGCTGTGGGTTATTAATGTTTTTATGCATGGCAGAAAAGATGCAAGCACTGAAAGAAAGTGTGTAAATACTTCTTTCTTCTGCAGCACACACCATGCTTTAGCTCTGGGGACAATATACAGCAGCTCCCTTTTGAACACATATAACGTCTGACATACAACGCACATTCAATTACTTAATCAAAATAATTTCTGGGTGCTTTTTTTCCAAAAGTTTATCCAACATTTATTTTATATAATTGTTGTGTCAACTACAATGAAAATAGAATTAGCAGGCACAGTAAGATGTTTGGTTGATATAAGGTATAAGTGCAGTGATATACATTTCCAGTGCAGAAATCCCAGTGAGGAAGAACTAGGAATCTTTTGCAGGGTAATCCTAAAGTTTCCCTGTCAGTACGTTTAATGAATGGACATTCTATGCAAACACGAGTTTGTACAGACCATTGTAATTATGGAGCCTTGGGGGAGTCGTCCTTCTTGTGCAGGTTCATTTGCCACATTAATAAGGGGATTAGTAGTACGAACGGGGGCTGATGGCAGCAGGAGAAGTTTGAGAAGATTAATGAACTATGACAATGTTGCACCTGAGGGGAAAAGTCTGTTGCAATATCTTCTGGGTTGTGCTGACACAGACTTTGGCAGTATGAAAGAGGAAGATGGAGAGTGGCTAGTGATTGTTGCCGACTGCGATCATACATCCTTCTCCTCAGCTTTCCTGTCACTTTTTCAGGACGCTGTGTTTGTGATCCTTTATACTGTACATGTCCATGATACTTTTGACTGAAGATGTTCCAGTTGATTTAACATTTTCTTGAAAATAGCAACACCAACTTGTTATATCGCACCCTTTCTGTAGATATAAACACAAAAAATGACTTAAGGATGTGAATACACTAAATCTTTGAGAAAATACTGAGTTTTCTTCAGTTGGGTCTTTTGCAATCATCAGTTTAATGATTATTCAAACTACCGATATATGCAAGGACAAACACCCATTCGCTCTTGGAGTAAAATGTATCACATCCTCAAAACAAATGTAGCTATCAGGAGATCGTAAGCCAATAAGTCTGTGAGTGAATTGTCTATCAAAGCTTTAAATCATCAGTGCAGGATTTGCAGGGCTCTTTACTGCAGAGAACATTATATTTCTTTAAAAAACTTGTCATGTCTTCTCTGCCTAGGTGGGTAAAAGGAAATGAAATGGATTGCGGGCTATACTAAAGTAGTGGGTGTGAGTGCTACCTGAGTAGATTATTGCCCCGAGGGGGATCCAGTTTTGTCTGCACAAAACAACAAAATAAATCAAAGCTCCCTGTTGGAACATTGGCTGAACTGTGGAGATCATTTATATGTTTTTATTTTCTTCTGTTGAGAAAAATGAAGTGCTTCTGATTTTTTATATATTTATTTATTTATTTATTTATAGCCTTTTAGTTTTTTTTGTCTATAACTGCCAGGGATAGTAGTGCCAAAACACAGATGATGGCAAATTACCAGGAATTGCATTTGATTTTTCGTGAACATCTATCAAATTTCATTTCTGTCTAAGCCATTTTCATACATGTACAATTTTACAAACATTTGTTTTATTATTTTAAACGTGTCAAAAAAACCAATTTTGATGATGACAAACCCTGTCATTTATCAAAAGGTCTTACGTGTGTGTGTGCGTCTGTGATTTTTCTTTCTTTCTTGGTTTGTTGTTTGTCCATCACATTTGGCTGGCAACCCATTTATCTCAAATTCCTCATCCATTTCTGCAACTTTCAAAGCAAATTGATTGATGATCAATCTTCAGGGGGTTGCTTTGTTAAATTAATGTTTTGCATGCACAAAAAACAAAGTCATTCTGGCTTTTGTGGGACTGCCATTAGTTAATTCATCTCCATTTTCTCACTAATCCACAAAACACATTTCCCATTTTTCTAAGGCAATCAATCAAGTTGACATACTAGCTTCATACTAGCTTCATATTTTTTTCTTACACTGCATGATGAGAAAAACAAACAGCAGCCTAACACACTTACAGTATCAACACCTCATCTGAATTCTCTCAAATTTACCTTAAATACAAGAGTAGACGGTGGAAGAAAATGTTTCTTGACTACTTGCTTGTCTAAAAAGAAGAAGAAAAATGATACAAAAAGATGAAGTTACGATGCTAATTCATTGTTTGAATGCCCCCACCCCCACCCAAACAACCCATCTCTCCTTTCCACTCCTCACTTGGCCCCTCCACCCACTCCTTATCTTCCCCGTCTCCAGCCCACGCCTTTCACACATGTTTTATCGGGGTCAATGCAGTTACAAGCAATGCTAAATCACCAAGGGTTTGTTCACCTTTGTGTTCTGATCATTTGTGACACATGAGGGTGCTTTGTGTACATAGCCCCACTTTCTCTCTGTTACAATCCCCTCTCCTTTTATCATGAGAGTGTAAGGGTGTGTTTGTAAAATATGGGCAAGGAGGTGCTGTGTGTCCTGACATGACAAACCCACAGGGAGACGTGTCCTTGTCATTGGTTTGTTGTGTCAAGTGACACACAGTCCGATGCTCTGTCACTAGCCTGTTCCAGTGTCTAGACTAATAGTTGTGATAATGGCATTGCCAGCCAACCCCCCTCCCCCACCCCCACCCCTTAAGCTAAAAGCCACACTTGACTTGAAATGTGACTGCCATTGACTGCTTTGCCACTGGGCCCCATAGCTCACAAAGACTCTGTAACCCTCATCAATGTAAATCTTTCTTGTATATATGAGATGTTTCATGTAAATTGAACTCCTGGTAATCTTGCCTAATGTGCTGTGTTAAACAATAATGGACTTGTTTAATCTAATTTTGTTTTATTTATTTGATCCTTTTTTTTATTTGCTGGGTATACATTTATTAAAGCTGAAATAAACTCTGCCGGGTTTTAAGTACATTGCAACGCCTATTCTGTTTTAAAAAGCTTTATTTGAACAGTGCTATTCTACCTTTATAATTTCATAATAAATGTTTCAAAGAGATCATTTCTTTCTTGTTTTTAATTTGTCCGTATGTTCTGCTTTTGTGATGTTGTGATAAGACATTATGTATAAACTGGGATATGTTTCAGTCAATCTACTACGTGTGAAGCAGTTCTAATCAGTATTTCTCCGTAAACAAGTGCCTCAGCTGATTATAATGCCAAGTTGTGTATTTTAAGAAGAAAACAGATTTTCTGCTTTGACTGAATCCAATATTTGAAATGAGGCACACAAAGTCACTGACACAGAGCCAATGTAATAAAACCCTTACAGTGGAATTGTAATTCAAGTTAATCTAAAGAGGTAGTTTTGTTTGGGGTACATCCCCTCTTGACAAGTCACATGAGCACATCGATATCTGTATGTCTCGGTGTGCAGCTTGAAGGCATGCTGAATGCTGAGTACAGCCTTGCTGACCTAAATACATGAATGTCAATGGGATCAAGTAAGCAGCTGCTCTCAAACATCTGATGCTCAAGCTTTAAAGTCTGCGCTGGTTAGCCTGTAGCATTAAATGATACTTTCAGGTTTTTCAAGTCTGTCATCAAACAAAACTGACATGCTCATATGTTCTTTTACAGATTAATGGCCACTCGTGATTGGTTGTGAAGGGATCACTTCATTGCCAAACTTCAATTTCAGCGGAAGCTTATATGAAGGCTTCAATAAAAAATGCGACTTTCCCGTTGGTATCATCCAAAGTTACAGTTTCCCTATGCTATAGCCTCTCTTTGTTTCCCATCCCCTAAATCTAAGTTGTACTAAAAGAGTTCATGTTTGTACCGTTCTGACATTGCTGTGAGCCAAGTGAGGATAATTGTCTAACATAACTTCAAAAACATAAAAGAAGAAGTAAGCTAAACAGAATAATTACCCCCACATTTCTCTTTAAGGTCAGTCCTTAAGAACTCCTTTTCTGCAAATTTTTTGCTGTGTCTCACTCGATCCAATTAGGACTTCCTTCTTATTAGTGGAGCAGCAAAGGCAGCTGTAACTGAACAGCTCCTTATTGTATCAGTTGTGCAAAAAAGGCACACTGGTGTATACAGTAATATCCAAAGTAAATATGACTAAATATCCTAACCTGCACCCTAATCTCCCATCATCATCTCCACCGTCAACATCATAACAAAAGCTAACAAACTCAATATGTATTGTTCCTTATAGTTATCTATAGAATAGTAAGGACAAATAAACACGGTTGTAACAATGTTGCTTATTTTTTCTTGCAAGAGCTGTCTTTTTTGACATCTTCATATTTTGCAATCTCCGAGTACTTTCCAGTTTCAGAAGTAAAGATGTGTCACCTCTTCACTGGTCTTTGCAGAAAAGGAGAGGGGGGTGTGGATGGAAGTGCCACGCCAACACATCTATGGGAAGTAGACCTAACTCAGCTTAATCTGTCCACTCTGTTTGAAAGCCAGAGGCAGAGCTTAGTCTTCATTTGAGTGAGGATAAATAAATAAATATAGGCTTTAAAGTTGACCTCATATATACGGTCACTTTCAAAAAGCTGTGTGCACTTACTGGCTGGTATTTGAAACCTAACTTCTGACCTAAAGTATAATCATATTGTATTTCCTTTCCAGTGAGAGGGTACAAAAGGCAATGCTAGTAATGCATCTTTAAACATTTTATCAGAATTGGTGGTCAGTGTCTCCCAATCTCATGTGGCCAGATTTCCAAATGTTGTGGAATCCATGTGGGATGGTAAGTCTTTAGATAACATGGATATTAAAAATGCTATGCTATCATTGAATTTGCTGAATTTTAATATGGCAGTTTGTTCTGCTCTTGCAGAGAATATATTTGGAGGCATACAAAGTTAGGGATGGACTCAGACTTGAACTTGTATATGCATAATTCTGCTTAGTGAAGAAGTATTAATAGCCAGTCCAGAAAGCCTTTTAGTGCACACAAATATACAGGCTTTTCATTTATAAATCTATGTGTATGCATTGCTATACATCATTGTCATCCTGAAATTGAGCGCACATGACAGTACATAACATCCACTCTAACAATGATCGTCACAGGAATGATGTCAGATGCCTTTTTAACCTTGTTTGGACAGAAACCAGATTAATTCTGTCCTTGGTCGTCCAGCAGTGTCCTCAAAGCAAGTCCTTGTTTCATTATGCATAGCCATTACGCATTGCTATGTTTAGTAAGCCAATAAAAGTGATTGATGACCCACAGGTGGACAAACATCTGACTCAATGCAGTGTTTTACGAAAGTATTCAGATCCTCAACTTGAGATAAAAAATAGTCCATTGCAACTAAAAGTCCAGCTAAATGTTAGACAAACATGACACATTATTTTATACTAAAGTATCAAAAGAGTCATTATTATTCTGGAAGAAGTAAACCCTAAGATGATTATATGGTTACACATTTGGACTATTATTACGGATGCATTGATAAGCATGTGGTTGGAGGTGAAGCTAATATTTTACATAGGTAGTTTATTTCAAGGCAACACATCACATTTTGTTATATAGGACTTTGTTAGAATTTGTAGAAGTAACTTGGGGTCAAACAAATGTAAGATATATTTATTTGAAATATAGTGAAGCATAAACTAAAGTAGCATACTATTGAAGTAAAAGTACTTTGAAACAGTTCTCAGGTAAATGAGTGAAGTACATGTACACTTGGAAGTATACCCACGTTACTGTGCGTTTTGTGGGTCCAATATGTATGCTTCAAATATTAATTTGCAATGGAATAACATTTGTTTCCCCACATAATTGTAAATGTGCACATATCACCTCTGAATATGCTTACACATGCCACATTCTCATATCTTTCCATGAATTGACAGATGCTTTTTTGAACATAAAGCGTTGGCCTGGAGCCTCAGTAAATGAGTCATCTGCCCGACGCACTTGCACTGAATAAAAATCAGGATCAGTCAGACACTTGAAGAGGGCCGAGCCTTGTATTTTTCTTTCCCTTTCTGCTGCTGTTGCATATGTTTTTATATTTCCCTCCAGTGACAGCGTGGTCTAGTCCTGCTTATATATTCCTCTAGAGTAATCTTTACTTAACCAAAACTCACTCATATGTTTTCTTGTGGCAAAGAAAATTAAGGAAGGCGAGAGTATGCCTCAGTTTTAGTCCCTACATGAGATAAGCTTTTTTTCATTTTCAATCTTAACCGCCCAGAAGGTCCCTTCAGGACAGAAGTGAGTTGTTGCAGTGATGTCGCAGGGAGGGTAGAGCCCTTCTACTGTTATGTGTGTATAACATCTTTATTGAAGGAAGGTGCAGTGGTCACACCACCGGGAGTCTGAGGCAAATGTTAGTTTTCTATTTCCTCCTTGTTTCCATAGAAAGACTGACATATGCATGCAACTGCACACACAAAAAGAAATAGCACATGGCCTAAAGGTTGCAAAAGTGAACTTTTGACCCGGAGGGATGCTGGGTCGATCCCTGGACAGGCAGGATAAATTAGACTGGGGATGAGAAACCTCTACTGGGGTGGCCTTAAGCATGGCACTTAACCCCCACTTGCTTCAGAGGGGTCACTCAGTAGATAACACTCAGTTGCACTGGGCAGCTTCTAGGTGTAGATGCATGAACTTGTGTTAGTGTGGAGCAGGATTTTGCTGTGAACCAGCATTTGTAGTCAGAGAATCCAACCTGTATGACTCATACCAAGAGAAAGATATCTTTATGCGTCTCCTCAGTCGTTCTCTTTTGACAGACGTTTGAAATGTAACAGCTACTTCTCTGCCTGTTAGGCAGATAAATGTGATAAGTAGACACAGTCCTCTTAGCAGTTGGTGGTTGGTTTTGAATGGATTCTTACAGGAAGCACATTAGACTTAGGAATAAAATCATAAATGAGATTTTATGGGAATTTTGAAGGATTTTCATTGAAGCACTTATTACATGGAAATAAAAGAGATATTTCAAAATACATCATTGTTGTCTGTATGAACATAAACAGCTTGCTGCCATAAGTAGATTCTTAAATCATATTCTAAGCTTTGGTTATAGGGAGAGGTTTGATCTCTCTGAAATGTAGCAGAAAGAAAACGATTGGTTCCCATGGTGAACTTGATGAAAAGCATTGATTAATTGGTGTTAAGACTAATTATATACTTCCTTAAATCTGTACTACATCATTAATAGATTCCCTTCATCACAACAACAAAGAGCAACAGCACTTACCATGGATGGCATTTGATTTTCTCTGGCAGAGAGTACAATGAGAGATATGAGTGAATTGGTAGACAACTAGACATATAATGCTCTTCAGGGATCTAATTAGATAAGAAGTTGTGATGTATGGCCTCTCAAAGGATGTGTGTCAACCCACTCCTGTTCAATGTATAGGCTGCAGATTTGTATTGATTGTATGCTTTGTCTTGTGCCTCAGGCATCAGCACGCTACAGTGTAAGCCGTGAGCCTTGCCTTTGTCTGGTGAGCTGAGAAGATAAGGGTTGTGATAAATCTGCCCGAGAATAAGCTGTCATAGAGGTGTCGCACCTGGGAATATTTAACGCAAACATAAAATATAGCTTGTCTGTTTTTTTTATCGTCGAGGGTATAAGAAATGGCAGGGTTTTAAAATACTCTCACCTCCTTATTTTTGCACTTTTCTATCTCTACAGCTCTGGCATGCACAGCAGCCCACAGTCCTGCTCGCCTTTGTACGGGCCATGGAGCGGAGAAAAAAAGGGAAAAAAATAGATGCTTTGCGCGGAATGGTGAACCGGCGTCTTATCGCAACTCAGTAATATGCAGAGGTGTTAAACATTTGGCTAGTTTATTTAGATTACATGATTTAGTCCAGGTTGTGCAGAGTTAGCGAGGGCTGAATCAAGTAGTGTGTTGGGGATGAACAGGGAGGAGGTGAACATTGGTTTTCCCTATCTTACGCTGCAAATAGAGACCCGGCCTGGTTTCCTCTCTCTCAGACTCCCCTCTGAAGATAACGTGCCCTGATAATGGATATATGCAGCCAGATTTATTTTCTATTTCCTGCCCCAACTGCTTTTCCAGGGAACCTCTTTTTCTTAATGTATGTGCTTAATGGCTGCTTTCAGCTTTGACATTCAGGAAAGCAGAGCTCCAGTACCAGAGCAAGAAGGGAAGCATTTGCTATGCAAAACATAGAGGAGAATGCTCTTTCAGACCTGCAACTTTTACCGTAAGATATACATGAAGGCGGGAATGCAAGCTGGAAAGGAACGTTTATCCACTCTGATGATTGGTCTGCCCCAAATCTTTGCCCACCGACTTTAATCCCATCTATTGCAGGAAACTAATATATAACACACAATTACAATTTCTCCGTTGGTGAAGTGGACCTTGTCATAAGATTATTAATGCAGTTTTGGAATTAAAATGAGTCATTCAGTTGTACATCAAAACTTGAAATTAAAGTTCAAGTCTGCGGAAGCGTTTGAGACAGTGAGTAACTCACAGACATGACTTGATGTAACACGGCAGCCTCTCATTTTCCCCTTTCCACCCCTTTCCCTCTAATCTTTAAAAAGCCATGGCTCAGTCTGTCATGTGACATGTGACCCCACTTCATGCTTGGTAGGGTGTCTCAGTGTCCCAGAAACCAGTCCGGCCTCTGTCCGGGGAACAA